CACACACACACACACACACACACACACACACACACACACACACACACACACAAACCGAGGAGGGAGTGCGCCTCTCTCTCTCTCTTACACACACACACACACACACACACACACACACACACACACCGAGGAGGGAGTGCGCGCAGACGGAGACACGCCCAAATCTAGTCTCACCGGTAGGCGAGTCGACGGATAAATGGTATCGAGGAGAGCTGTTCTGGGACAAAGCCCCAGGTCATGTCAAAGAGTGAAGAGTAAAGCATTGTCAACAGTGAAGTCAGTGCGTCGAAGTAATCAAGACCGTATGTCTACAACCCCTCCAAAGAGCACCAAACCACGTACCAATGTTCCACCCCTCGACGATCATCATCCAATTAGTGACACCATCCTCACCGTTCCTTCATCTCCCCTCACACCATCTCCGTCGTTCTTCCCCTTCGTTCTCTCCCTTCGCCTCCCCTCTCCTCTTCCTCCCTCCTCTCTCTCCTCAGGGCGCAATAGTCATCAGCTCAACAAGGTCTCCAATCAACGAGATCGCCCGATGGCTCCTCCTCCGCCCGCCTCCGCCTGCCTCCGCCGGACAACTCACGACTCCCCGCGTGCCCACGCGGCCGTGCAGCGATGGCAGAGAAAGCACGGGAGTGCGCAGGCGCGCGCCAGTTCTCCCCCTCCCTCCTTTCCCTACTCTAATCGCAGACATCTGACGGCTGTAACTCCTTACAGCCGATGTCTATAGGCCTTGCCGCACCTTTCACCAAATGTGCAAAATGAAAATGAATCTTGCCCTAAAACATGGATATATGCACGGGCATATTTTTTGTCTCTTTCGCATTTCGCGAGTAGTGCGGCGGAGTCGCTATGACCACGGCCTACCATCGCCAACCGGCATTGAAAGGGCGTTGCCAAAATAAAATTAAAAAGAAAATAAAAGAAAAGAAAAGGAAAGGGCGTTGCCGCATGGCGCGCACGAAACGAAGAAGAAGAAGAAGACTGCACCTGGTCACCTAATATCAAACAATACAGCCCTTACTATTCATAGTAAAAGGATGGAATTTATCCGGCTTGTAAAAGAAAACGGGCGCGCTTTTTTTTTTTTTTCGTGGCGTATACCGCGCGGCGAGTCTCACAAAAACTTTAAAAAAAAAAAAAAAAAAGAAACGTCGCTCTAATGTGCGACAAATGTGAAAAAAGCGTGTGTCCCTCTCTTCCGGGTTGAATTGTGGGACTCCGGGGGCCAGGTCCCACTAGCGAAGAGGATAGGATTAAACTCCTGAATGTGGACGTGTTTTAAGCAGACATGCAGAAGAGCAGTTCAATATTGATTTTCTGCACCCATTCCACAAATAAATCCAGATTAAGGCATTCAATCCAATCCGCTTTGCTAGTGGGACCTGGCCCCGGCCCCCCAACTACTTGTTTTATGAAATAAACACATAATCTGATCAAAAAGGGAAAAAAAAACGAAACGTATGTTTACATAGATAACGGGCAGATGCACGGGAAATGAACTCGCCTATCTCGAACTTGGCGGTCGGCGTAAGGAAGATGGAAGAGTGGACTAAAAGGATGTATCTGACTGACAATATGTCTTCTCTGCATGCATCGGGACTCAACTTTGACCAGGGGAGACTTACGAAGTCCTAATGTACTCCTACGTAGCGACAGTGCGCTCCAGAGTAAGACAAGTGGCGTTCATTGTGCTTGCGTGCAATATAATGAGGAGACTGTTTTCCCACAAAAAAAAAAAAAAAAAAAAAAAAAAACGCTCGTTCATTGTGCGTCGCCGTCCTACATTTGGTGAGTCGTGCGGCGATGTCAATTATCTTCTTATTTAGACCGTGCATTCTATTCGGGGGTACGACTGAGCAGCGGCACAAGGAGCCAGGATGGGGGCAAGGAGGCATCTACCCACGAAAATTGACGATTCCAGTCAAAGGCGGAACAAACGCGGTAATTCAATCCGCTAGGTCTGTCCCGTGGGGAAGGTGGAGAGGGGTGGTGTAGAGGGGTGGGGAGTTGGGGATCCTGGGTCCTCTTCGCTCCAAAGAGGACAGGAATAGGCGTGAAGCTACGATATTCGGCAACCCACATGCAGCCTCCAGGTAGGTACCACCCTCCTCTCCCTGGTAGGTAATCCGCAGGGGTGACAGGGTATTACGCCCTTTCACGAGTGGAGATTCCGCAGTTGCAGCTCTGCGATTCCCGTATCACAGTGCTAAAGCCGCAGTAAAGTTTGTTGTTGCGTCTGTGGCGAGTTGTTGTGTTGTGAAAGTTCAAAGTGGGCAACCACTTCAATAGGGGCATTGACTACCGCAGCCTTGCTGGGAATGCAGCCCTAAGGGGTGCTGCAGCTCGTAGAATAGGAAAAAAAATAAACTGGAAGTTGCCTGGAATATACTTATAACATGGTTATAGGTTGTGAGTGAGAGAGAGAGACAGAGAGAGAGAGAGAGAGAGAGAGAGAGAGAGAGAGAGAGAGAGAGAGAGAGAGAGTGGTTATAGGTTGTGAGTGAGAGAGAGAGACAGAGAGAGAGAGAGAGAGAGAGTATGTGTGTGTGAAAACATGCAGGATTACGCAGGTCTAGTCCAAAGGACTTTGGTCGTCTTTGCTTCAAAGGATTGTGGACCAGGTCTTCTCCACCTACAAGGAGAGGAATCAATCGCATACTTCATGTTGGCACACACAAACAGAGCAAGAGCGACAGAGAGGGAAGACGCAAACGCGCAAACCCACAACGAGTACGCTCCATGCGCTGGCATGTAATTATGCATGGGTTTGCTATTCGTTGTGTGACTGTGCATAAGCATTTCCTCTCTCCCCCCCCCCCCCCCTCTCTCTCTCTCTCTCTTACACTCACATACAAACTCGCGTTTTTGTTTGTTGCTATGTGTGTGAAGATGATGTGTGTATAAAATACATGAAGTACATCCTCATCACAGAGAATGTGCAATGTATTGACATTATACTTCAGAAGGAAATACACATGATAATCCTCAAAGTAACATTGTAGAACCATTAGCCTGTGTACGGCAGTAGGTTGTAGGGAACAGAGAAGGTGGGGGGGTAGAGAAACAGTACGAGTTAACGAATTAAGGTAAAATAATAAAAAGCAAAAAAAAAAAAAGTACCAAAAAATACAAAGTGAAAAAAAAATAAAAAAACTTGATTAATTATTTTGTCGGACATATTAAGAGGTTTTGCAGAATATTTATAGTGATGGTTTGGATTATGAACCTTTTGACCGTCGTTGAAGAAAAACTAATTAATACTTCATCAACCACAAAATCTTATACGTGCATACATAGCTTCGAATTGGTGCCTTCAGCCTGAAGAGTAAAGCCTCTTAACCACTACAGCCATGACATAGTGTATAAAAAAGTATTCATGTCGGTCGCGATACCACCTCACCCCTACAAGGTTGTAGTATCCTTCAACTCACACACACACACACACACACACACACACACACACACACA